TAAAGTTATTGTGTAGAATTTTTTTCCTTTGTTGTTGTTTTTGCTTGTTTTGTATGGGGAATTGAACCCAGGGCTATAGCCCCAGCCCCTTTTCTATTTTTTATTTTAAGACGGGATTCTCTAAGTCAATAAATTGCAAAGGCAGGGCTCAAATCTGCAATCCTACCTCAGCTTCCCAGAGTGCTGGGATTATGGGTAAACACTTTCAAAATTCTTGAACTTTTTTTTGTTTGGTTGGCCGTTTTTGTTTTTTTTTTTTGGTACTGGGAATCAAACTCAGGACCTTATGCTTGCTAGGCGGGCACTTGTGCCACTGAGCTATATATATCCCCAGGCCCTTCTTGTTGTTAATGGTATGGCTACATGTCGCAATGATTCAGGGTGGGTAGACATAAGGTCAGTTTTTGTTTTATTCTTCTCTGAAGATTATTCTCAGCCTTGCATGATGCCACATACCTATAATCTCAGCCCTCCAAGAAGCTGAGGCAGGAGGGTTATGAGTTTGAGGCCAGCCTGGACTACTTTAGGAGTTTAAGGCCAGTCTAGAGTACATAGTACTGAAACTGTCTCAAAGAAAAGGAAAAAAATATAGCTCCACATCTGATAATTTTTTTTTTTTGGTACCAGGAATCAAACTCAGGACCTTGCGCTTGCCAGGCAGGCACTTGTGCCGCTGAGCTATATCCCCAGCCCTTTTTTTGTGTGTGTGTGTTGTATGATTAACTGTTGTATTTTCCTATTCATCCTGTTTATGCTGTTACCATCTACTATCTTGTGTAGAATACTATAACAGGCAGATAATTTACCTCTTTAACTATTGCTATATCCAATACTTATCAGTCTTTCTAAAGTATAACCATGAAGGTGTCATCCTCTATGCAATCATCAAAAAATAGCTCCCTTGGCTGTGGGTGTAGCCCAAAGAATACATGCTTAGCATGCATGCTCCAGGACTTAGGTTTAGTCCCTGGCACCAAAATAAAACTACTCCGTTATGCTCACAGAATAAGATCTGATCTTCTTAGTTTGTTATCCAAGGCCCTTTCATAACTTGATTCCTACCTTTTTATTCCACATCTATAGCAGGACACCCACCTGCATCTCTGACTTTAGGGACAGTAAAAGGTGCTGGGAATCCATTAAGAAGCAAAATAACCAAGGTCAATGGCATATGAAGCAATTCCCAGTGTGCATTATTCCTGCCTTCTGACTCTCAACTTGGTCTTGGTCCAAGTCTTGTGCATCATTTCCCCTGGATCAGGCACTTGTAACAAATTCCCCGCTTCTATCCATTTTGGACCTTACTACAAAGAAGGCCAGAGAAGAAAGATTAATGTGGAAGAAAGAAGTTGAGGTGCAAAAACAGGAGTCCCCCACTTCCTTGCAAACGATATCAGGGTCCAATTCTTCACTCTGGGGCTGACTGTGAAACAGTTCCAGGACTGTGCTTGCGTGATAAAGCGGGGCGGAGCACTTTGATTTTGGGGAGGAAGGCCTGCCCCTGGAAAAGCTGCTCGCTTTCTCTTCCCACAGGCCAGGTCACACCCCTCGGCCCTGGCCTAGGCTCTTCTTGCTCGCTCTCTTCAGGCACAGTCCACGCTGACCCTGTGCCCAGCCACCCGGGCTCCCTTGGGGATGCTCTCCTCCGCAGTCGCAGTTCCCGCCTCGGCGCTCCGGCGCGCCCCGAGCCGACGAAAAGGGGCGCTCCCCTGGTTCCAGCCTCTTCTGGCGCCGAGTTCCAGGACCCGCCCCCCCGCGGCAGTTGCCAGGGAGCGGTTGCCATAGAGCTGAGCAGTTGTCCGCGTGCGCAGGCGGAAGTCCCGGATTGAGGCGCCGCCATTTTTGCTGCCCGGACGCGGAGCGAGAGGTTGAGACAGTCGGAGACGTTATCCGCTTCCATCCGTCGCGCAGACCCTGCCGGAGCCGCTGCCGCTATGGATGATCGGGAGGATCTGGTGTACCAGGCGAAGCTGGCCGAGCAGGCTGAGCGATACGACGGTAAGTTGGGGGGGCAACGGGGGGCTGGAATTGTCGGACCCTCTGCCGCCGCCCACAGAGGCCGGGAACAGGAGACAAAATGGCGGCATCGTTTCCGAGCCTGGACGCGGGACGTGGATTCGGGAAGCAGGAAATGGCTTGTGGACTCCCGGAGCAATGGGAGGCTCCAGTCCCAGGAATTTGACCCTTTTAGTGTCCTAAGCTACAGACACTCGCTAGCTGGGAGGCCCAGGCAGTAGGGTGGAGGAGGTGGTTGTAAAATGGCGGCTGGGGGGGGGGAGGGCGAGTCCCTAGGCGGGGGAGGGGGAGGAGATGGCGGGTGCTGTCTTTGGGCGAGCTGTCCCCGGGGGAGCTTCTGGGACAGTCTTGGGACGGGGAGAACAGTTGGGTGGGGTGATTGGGTAAGGAACACCCGCCACATGGGAGGCCGTGGTGACTTGGAGCTATAGCGCGGGCGCCTTTCGGGGAAATATGGCGGGTGGGGGCGGAGGCTTTTCCCCGGAGGCCCACTGTGGGGCGGCGGCCGTGGAGTCTCACAAAGAAGAGCCTTTTCCAGCACAGGGTTGCTTCAGGCTTGTGGTGGTGGGCATCGCGGGGGCTGGGGGAGGGGAAGTGGGAATCACTGCAGACTCCCTCTGGGCGGAGGCAAGTGGCGATGCCGAGATCAGATCTCTTCCCCCTAGGCCGGCACACCTTGTAGTTGAGAGGTTGGGGTTTTCAGCCTTGCTTTCTGTGGAGGTCCGGAAGAGCCTCGCTGCTGCGCCCTTCCCGCGGACTAACCCTAGGAGAGGCCGAAGTTGCTGTACCGTGTCTCTGGCTCCGTGAGCGCTGGGTTCTGGAGGATGGAACCTAGAATATGGAACCAGGAGCCCAGGAGCCCGTGACTCTTACGGTTACCGCCTTGGTAGCGGTCGTGCCTCAGTCTACCCGTTTGTAAAGGTGGTGGCTCCCCCGGCCTCACGCACCGTTACGACACAAGAGAAAACCTGTTGAAAAATAATTACAAAATACGTTGAGTAACTGTATTTCGGTTGGAGCCCTGGAATTCGTGTTCGTACTACGTGATCTTAATCTATTGCAGGCACTCATTTGAGTTTCAGGGGTTTTTGGATTGTGAATGTAGGAGATGCTGCTGTTTTCTTTTTTTCCATTTTAAGTGTGTGGTTCTGCGTACACCTTTTAGTAGTTCCTCTTTGTTTCTGTGATGGGGGGAGCATGCTGGGGATGGAACCCGGGGCACCCAGGGCGGGCAGTGCAGGGCAGGGCAGGGCCGGGCCGGTCTTTGACAGTGAGCAACCCCCCCCCCCGCCCCCCAGCCCGCGTTATTCATTTGATTTTTCAGTCATTTTTCAGAAGTTCATTGAAATACCATTGTGTTTGTCTAGTCAGCCCGAGGCAATTTTATTTTTTAATCTCTCACTCCACGTTTTGGACCTAGATGTGTGAGTTACCCGTGCATTCCTTAAATTAGTATTAAAGAGAAAAATGACATCTTTGATTCCTGTGGTTTTAATGGTTTTTGTGGGGTGGGATGAGACATGGTTGAAATTGAGTGCCATTGATTTTTAGGTTTTTCCTAATTTAAGGCGCTTATTTCTTAAACTGTGTAGGGTCCTTTGCTTGAATGTCACTTTGGTCATGTGAATAGCTTCAGGGCTTAGACCTAGTGTAGCATCAGAAATTAGTATTCAGGGAGTTAAAAAGCAGGAGAAAAGGTTTCTAAAACTCAGATGAGGGGAGGGTACTGAACTATTTTTTGTCTTGATTTTTAAATTACTATTTCTATTGGGAGTTCTTGTTGGAAGTGGGAGGGGAATAGGATGGGAAAGTACAGTTCAAGGTCAACCTTGTCTTTATTTCAGTGTATTTAAAAATCAGAGAAGTGTGCTTGTAATGGAAGTCTTCCTCTTCATGCCTCAAATAAGTCCTTCTCTTAGTCTAATGTCCTGGGGAGGAAATTCGAGATTACATTTCAATATTTTATGATTTGTGAGGATTTAGAGCCCTCCTAAACTTGCTGTGATAATCAAAAAGGAGGTAAGGGAAAGGCTCTGTCCCCCCCCCCCCAAAAAAAAAAAAAAACTGATCTGAAAGCTTATGATTTTACTTTTTTTTTCAAGCATAATCTTGCTGTGTAGTTCAGGCTGTCATGGAACTCAAAGCAATCCTCCTGCTTCAGCCTCCCAGGTGGTGCGATTGAGGGCTTGTACCACCAGGCCCAGTGCTGAGGATTTTTGATCATAGGATTATTTAAATAAAACCACGTAGTTACTGTTCATTGCATCCCCTTGAGGCTTTAAAGTGGAAGGAAATATCTACAAGGTTGAGAAGGTCATCTGTAAGACTCTTGGGACAGGAAAGAGAAAGGAGGACAGTCACCAGAAATTAACCTTTATGTCTACTCCTTTGTTCAGTGCTATGATTCCATTTTGTTTGCAGTGACAAGGTGATCTTATAGTTACTAGTCACTAAACAGTTGTCTCAGGTGTAGGGGAATGAGAATACATTGGAATAATATGAATTTTGGGTATTTGGATATGGTTGGATTTCCAGTTGTTCTTTTTATGTTATTATCCAAGTTTGGTCTTTTTATTTTTCCTGCTATGTGAAATCTAACCCCTAAACTTTATCTCATTTAACTATATTGGAGAATTTAAATCAATTTTTTTTATTTTTTTATTTTTTTTAAATCAATTTTTATAGATTATTTAATGGTACTGGAGGAAAGTCTAAGCTGTGTTTAGGAGCAGGATGATTTGGAGGTTGAGTAAAGAATACTGAAGTTGGGGATGAAGACGCCTCACCTTGACAAAATGTAGCACCTCATCTGTGTAACAAGTCAGTAGTCTAAGAAATAATTTTATGTTATTTGTAGTTATTTGTCAGTATTTTTTTTTTTTTTTTTTAATCTTTTTGAAACAGAGTCTTGCTATGCAGGTCAGGCTGGCCTTGAGCTCACTTTGTAGCCCAGGCTAGTCTTGAACTCACAGCAATCCTCCTGTCTCAGCCTCCTGAGTGCTGGGATTACAGGCGTGGGCCACCATGCCCAGCTTGTCAGTATTCTTGAAACACGCCTTACTTCCTGTATATAGTAACCACATCAGAGTAGAAAAGTAGGAACTATAGAATGAGGGAAATGAATACTTTTCCCTTTGGGGGGGCACAGAGAGGGGAACATAGTATGTTTGGGCTTGTGTGATATTTGCTTTGCCCTTTTCTAATTTTCATGGAGATTAGCCCCATGGGAGGTGGGGGTAAAAATCTTAGTGGGGACTTTTGGTTCACTCTGGATACATGAATGCCAGGATTCTCTTCTGAGTCACTTGAAAGCTGCTCTTTTGAAACACTAAAACCTTGCTTCCAGTTGAGTTAGTGAAGGAGGGGGAGCATGTTTTGAATTACTCCTTAATGCACGTCTTATGGGGAAATAGGTAACAAATTATTAACGAATTTAAAAGCATTTGGTTGGCAAATTCTTTTGAGTATAGGCCAGTGAGTTTCTAGTGCTATTTCAGTTAATGGGCCATATTGAATGAATGTAAAATTTCCCCTACCTAACTGCAGAACAGAATCGGATAATGCAGTTTAAAAAAAAAAATTATATATATATATGTATACACATATATATATATTTTGGTGGTACTGGGGATTGAACTCAGGTTGTACATGCTAGGCAAGCACTCTACCACTTAGCTACACAGTCCCAGCCCAATGCCGTTTTTTAGGAATCCCATGTGCAGGTGGCTTTTTCAGTCTTTGTATTTAAGAGATGACTCTGTTACACTGTAGGACTGGCCTTGAACTCACTATATATCCCAGGATGGCCTTGAACTTGCAGTGTTAACTCCTGCTTCAGCTTCCGAATGCTGGGATTACAGGCATGAGCAACTATACCTGGCTTATGCATTATACTTTTGTACAGTTTTGTTCATATTTCATTCCATTGTGTTGTCTTGGACAAGTTTGGATGCAGTGGCATCATGAACCACTGATTTGAGGGGATGGGTGAAGCCTTTACTGTGGACATTAAATCCTCCTTTTTTTGCCTTTTTGAGACAGGGTTTCACTATGCAGTTCAGGCTGGCCGCAAATGCAAAGTGATCCTCCTGCTTCGGCCCCTGGAGCGCTGGGATTATAGGTGTGGGCCACCAGGCCAGGCCTATTAAATTTTCTTCACGTTTATATAAAAGTCTGATTTCAATCTTTGATGTAGGAAGAATACTTATAGCAAGTATTAAGCTGAGCAAATTTTGAAGTAAGTGTAAACAAACACATTGAAAATCTATACAAACAGGCTTTTCATAATTGTTTTATTGGTCAAGGGAGTAGGAATTATTTTTGGAGGGAGGCTGTCCTGGGGATAAAAACTAGGGCTTTATGCATGGTAAGCAAGCACTATCATTGAACTACATCCTCAGCCCTAGAAAGTATATTAAGAAAGTATATTAAATTTCTTGATTTTTAAAAAAAAATTTTTTTTTTTTTGTACTGGGAATAGAGCTCAAGACCTTGTGCTTGCCAGGCAGGTGCTGTGCTGCTGAGCTATATTCCCAGCCCCAAGTTGGTTTTTTTCTTTTTTAATTTTTTTAAATTATTATTTTCTTTTTTGGTACCAGGAATTGAACTGAGGGCCTTGTGCTTGTCAGGCAGGCACTGTGACACTGAGCTACATCCCCAGCCTGCCCCAAGTTTCTTGATTTTAGAGATTCGGGTTTTTTTTTTCTCTTTTGGTACCAAGAATCGAACACAGGACCTTGCCCTTGCCAAGCAGGCGCTTATGCCACTGAGCTATATCCCTGGTCCTCAAATTTCTTGATTTTAATCTGGCATACTAAGTGAAATTTCAGTCAAGTAACTTTTTAAAAAATTTTTTTGTCTTTTTGAAACAAAGTTTCACTGTGCAGTTTAGGCTAGTTTTGACCCCCCCTTTTTTTTTCTTTTGTCTTTTTGAGACAGGGTTTTTCTGTGCAGTTCAGGCTAGCCTTGAGCTCACTTTGTAG